GGTAGCCGTACTCCATGACATGGACTGTCTCGTAAGTGTGGTAGCCGTACTTCATGAAGTGCAGTGTCTCGTGCTCGTATGGCCTGGGTCCTCACCTTGGGCTCCCTGGAGGTCCCCATACTGAGGCTTTTCGTTTTCTGCACGCTGTTTGCTTCTTTGTATTGGAGAATTGCAGTGGTTTTTGAATTAATGAGCGTGATCTTCATGTTATCCTGACTCTGGTCTTTCCAGGGGACTCGGGGCGATCGATGATTGATGGGAGAACAAACTTGACAACTTCTCTCTTTTCCCAATCCTTCGGCGTTGTCTCGGCCTCCGGCTGGGCACCCTCAAAGGACGGGCAGTGCGTAGTGGGAGCTGGACAGCTTCACCACTGGCTCCTCGTGGCCGTCGGGGTAGACGAGCGCCAACCTGTCCTTGGCGAGATCGGCTCCAGACTTCTCGAGATAGTCAAGGCCGAGCAGCATCGGGGACTTGGTCTCCACGAGATCGAACCACAGCTTGTTGTCGTCTTCCACGAGCGCCACCGGATGCTCGAACCCGAACTTCCCGATGGACTGGCCCTTCTCGCCGCCCGCGTGCGTGAACTTCGTCGTCTTGCTGTAGTCCATGGTGACCTGGTCGATGCCCGTCTCCTCCACGATCGTGTCCTGGATCGCAACGGCGAGGTCCAGGCCGATCATGCTCTTGGAGGCCCCGGTGTCGATGATCGCGTAGCCGACCATCTCCTCGTGTACCCAGCCCGCCTGGCCATCCTCTGGCGGGATACCCTCGTTGCTGTAGTTCGTCTCGTCAGTCTCGGCGTCCACGAAGCCAACCTGCCCTGAGGCCATCTGCATGTTGTTGCCATCTGCTCCGGTGCTGAGCCGCTTCGGGCAATCAACTGCCCGATGCGGGCCCTGGCAGATCAAGCACTTGATCCCGCGGCCCTTGCCCTTGCCTGTCGGTCGGCGGCCCACAGGTTGTGGTGGGGGATGAGCACGGCGCTCCCCTCCTTGTGGGCCTGGAGGCTTGGAGGGCCGCAGCGCCGACTTCGCCGTCACAGCTGCTTTGTGTGTGTCGCGCTGCTGCTGCTTCTCCGGGAGCTGTCCTATCCCAACCACTGGGAAGTAGCCACTCCTGTTCTTGGCCGCCTCTGCCAGCATCTTCTTGGCCTCCGTGAAGGTCCGATGGGCGTCCTGAGCGTACACCTCTGCATCCTCTGCGAATGCCTCCAGATCTTCCATCTGCTCTTCGGTGGCGGCCTCCTCTTCGTAGTAGATGTCCTCCTCGTCGACCTCGTGGCTGCCCTCGAAGAAGGCCTCGTCCTCTTCCTCGTCGTCCTGGTAATTGACCTTCGAGCGATCGCGACGGCCGTCGCGGGTGCTCTGGATCCTCATGTCCTTTCGCCTCGCCACGATGTTGTCCCTCGCAGCCAGGTCCTTGTCCGACCATACGTTCTTCAGCTTGTCGACCACTGATTCGATGGACCAGTCGTGGAGGCCCGCCACCACCGTGGCGCGCTCGCTCGGGTCGAGGCCAGCATTCACAAGGAAGATGATCCCACGCAGCTCGTCGGGGATCAAATCGATCGCGTCGATGCCCGGGCAGATGGCCCGGACACTCTTCTCCATCTCCTGGTAAGCATCTTCCTCCTGCTCCGCGTAGAGGCCAATCGTCTGTCCAAGCTTCCTCAATCTTGGGCCTGACGTCTTCCGATCGTAGTAATAAGCGAACACTTTGTCCACCACGTCACTCGATGCTTGCTTCCCCAAACTCTTCTGAAAGGCCCTCAGTAAGTTCTCTGGGCCCTTTTCCCCTACGATCGTGTCGGGCGTGTCCTCCGTCCGCGGAAGTCGCAGGGCCAGCTTCCTGTGCGCAGTATTCTTCGGGAGAGCCTGCACCAGCCTTGGTCCTAGCAGCTTCCTGTCGTCTTCCTTCGTCGCCAGGGTGAGCAGCTCTACCTCAGCTTGGTACTCGTCCAGGGTCTCCGCTTTGCCGTCCCACGTCGGTATCCTCTGAAACTCGACGCCTTGGCCCGTGCTCGATGATGCCATCTCAATAGCGTTGAGTCAAGACAACACTTCAACCAAGCTCCGCACTACCAATGATTTGTCGCCTCGTCGAGGTTCACTCGAAGAGAGATAACGAGAAAGTAAGATGATATCAGCAATCAACTTCAACGATGTAAAGTGGGAAGAGTGTCTCTTTCCTCTGGGGCAAGGTGCCAGGGGCTCGTTCACGAGCCTAGTCAAACGAAACAGTTCGATATGAAAACCGCGCACAGAAAGCTCGAGCACTGAATATGAGTACAGAAATCCACATACTAACCTTGGTTAAAGTTCTAGACAAAAACCTGATTTCTACGAGACCCAGGGACGGCGAGGTCCCACCTGGATCTGGGTAGGGCGTCACTCCGCTGGACCCCCCCAGTAACCCTCGAAAGTGGCGTCAGTTTAGCGGGCTGCAACCCTCCAGGGAGCCGCGAGGTTTCAACGAAATCCCAGTCTCCATTCTCTCCGCCGAACCTCCCGATAATCCACGAGGGTAGCGCCAATTTCGCACTTCGCAGTTTTCAAGGAGCCGCGAGGCTTCGACGAGGAAGTGGCGGCAGCCCTCGGAAGTGGCGGCAGTTTCGCATATCGCAACTCTTCAGGGATGACGAGGTCTAATTAGAATCTGGGTTAGAGGTCACCCCGCTGGACCCCCCAGCAGCCCTCGAAAATGGCGACGGGCTCGCAGACCGCAGCCCCACAGGGATGGCGAGGTCTAATTTGAATCTGGGTAAAACGTGACTCTGCTGGACCCACCAGCAGCCCCCGAAAGTGGCGTCAGTTTCGCAGATCGCAGCCCCCCAGGGATGGCGAGGTCTCACGTGGATTTGGGTCAAGCGCCGCTTCGCTGGACCCCCCAGCAGCCCCCGAAAGTGGCGTCAGTTTCGCAAATCGCAGCCCCCCCCCCAGGGATGGCGAGGTCTCACCTGGATCTGGGTAAGATGTCACCCCGCTGGACCCCCCCAACAGCCTTCGAAAGTTGCGACAGGTTCGCAGATCGCAGCCCCCAGGGATGGCGAGGTCTCATCTGAATCTAGGTAGGACGTCGCTCCGCTGGACCCCCCGGCAGCCCTCGAAAGCGTCGACCGTTTCGCAGATCGCAGACTCGCAGGGATGGCGAGGTCTAACTTGAATCTGGGTAAAGCGTCATTCCGCTGGACCCCCCAGCAGCCCTCGTAAGTGGCGACAGGTCCGCAGGTCGCAGCCACCCCAAGGATGGCGAGGTTTCATTTGAATATGGGTAAGACGCCACTCCGCTGGACCCCCCAGCAACCCTCGACAGTGTTGACAGTTTCGCAGATCGGAGCCCCCCGCGCATGGCCAGGTAGGAGGCAGGCTGGCGCGCTGGAAGGAGCGAGGTCAGAGGCAGGAGAGTAGGGGAGAGGGGGCGGGACGTTCTGCGACCGCAGTGCTGTATTCAGAACGAGAACCCAGCGCGGCAGTGTTGGGGACACACAAGACGAAATGCGTGCGCGCGTTGTCGCGTGTGCAAGCTGGGATCTTTCAAACGCTGCATTTTTCGCAGGGGGTTCAAAACCGAGTGTCCCGAACAGAACATAATGCACATGGTTTCGCAACCAGAGTTTTCAAAAGCTTGCTGTCGCGCTCTAGCAGACCCTCAAGAATACCATCGGTCTCTCAACAGTGTCGTCAGCTGCTACCATAGGGACCCCTCGCGCGCGCGCATGTCGAAATCGTTGGGGCGCCCTCGCGTGCGTGCTGCCGCGAGAATCCCTTGCAAACGAACTGGGCGATGTGCACGCGCGCGCGCGGCGTCGCGCGCGCATGCGGGAACCCTTCACATGCGACGTCTTTCTTTTGGACTTCAAAATCTTGTGTCCCGAAAAAGGCATATACCAACAATTGGTTTCCAACATCAGTTTCCAGAATGCCTGCGCTCCCGTTCCTGGGAACTCCCAGGGTCACCAGCAACTTTGGTTGTTGTTGTTTTTTTGTTTTCTTGTTTGTTTCGTTTTTCTTATTATTCCTTTTTCTACCTGTTTTTACATTCGACGAAGCGGGCCTCGCGCGCCGCATGTCGAACTCATTCGAACGCCGTCGCGCGGGTGCTGGGGGGTGGGGGTGGGGGTGCACGATCGGTGTCAAATATAATTCCATGCGGTCCACACTCGCGCGTCGGCTGCGCGCGCATGTCGGCTTTCGTTCAAACCCTTCATCACTGACGCGAGGACAAGATCATCGATGTCGGCCTGATCGGCATCGGTGCCGTCACTGGCCGTGCCGTCGTCGCTGTCATCATCGCCGCTAGCAGCGCTGCGACCATCATCGTGTTTAAGGTTGTCGACGTTGTCGTGGTACTGCGTCCGCCCAAGTTGCCGACTCGCACTGAAGTGCCCGCTGAAAAAAGCGCCCAGCGGTCAGCGCCACCGCGGCCGCGTCGGTCGCGCCAAACTAGCTGGCTGCCTTGCGTGCGAACGTGCGCTCTAGCGCAGCCGCGGCGATGCGCCAGCCGGCGCCAAGCAGTCATCGCAATCGCCGCCGCTTGGGTTTTGCAAACCAGGGTGCGGGTGGGTGGGAGGAACGATTGCGCTAACAGTGGGGGTGGCAAGTTCAATTCATGCAGGGTGAATTGGACCGCGTAGATAGCACCACGCCGATGGCACCACCTACATCGCACCACATAGATTGCACAGCATGGATGGCATCACGCTGGTTACGCCACGTCGCTTGCAGCACATAGATGGCGCACCGATAGAATAGCACTACATAGATTTCGCCACACTTCAATAACACACTATTTATTACACAACGTATGTTGCACCACATATTGTACAACGCAGTTTGCTTCACAATCTTGTTCTACATATTTATATATCGCACACCATATACAACATTACAAATCATGTACAGCTTCTATTGCACCAACTCGGTTGCACTGCGTATAATTCCCCACATGTATATATTCAGCAGCATGCATTGGTAGACCCCCTCTTCCTTTGTCTGTTTAGGCCGTTTGGCTGCAATACAATTGAATCAGCTACTACTTCTTGAGGCCGTATGCGATGCAGAGTTTCTCATGAATGCGACGTGATATAGCTTTGTGCGCCAGTGTTTGTTGTCTTTGTGGTTTCACCGGCTGGATTCATTTCAACTTTGAGAACTCGTTGCTGTCCAAGTGGAGGGTCGTTGTCACTCTCTCAGAAACTGGACGTGTCCCTGCATCTTTGCAGTCTGCAGTTGTCCCTAGCACTGTACCTGCAAGGATTGGATCTCCAGTGCCAGCATCAGGTAGTAACTCTTCACAGTTAATGGGCGCTACATTTACTGCGGAAGAAGCAAATTTTACGGAGAACATGTCAAGGCCGGCGAGCTTGGAATCTAGCATCGCTGCTCCCGTTGCAGCTGCCGGCCATGAAAGTATCACTGACCCTCTGAAGGGCCAGAGCTGGTCTTCTCTTTCGGCGAGGCCCAGGGAGTGCGTCGCGGCGAACAACCGGCATGTCAACGGCCGCAGCGCTCTGCACCTGCACCTCCACAACTACGGAGGGACCTTCCAGTGCGCCCTGGCCCAGCGACACGGCGAGTGCACCAACCCGCCGTGGTGCAATTTCGAGGGTTGCTCCGAGATGGTGAAGAGCCGGCTGACTCCTTGCTGGAAGCGGCTGAAGGCGACGCACTACACGTGGATCTTCGAAGAGCGAGGCTCCAGACCTAGACATCCGATGCCTGCATCTTTTTCAATACTGGGTCCCTGGAAGTCCCGATCCCTCCCCTGCGCCCCAGGGCCAGTTTCTCGTCCCGAGACGGTCTTTGTGACGGTCCCAGGGCCCAGCGAGGGCCCCCAGAGGCCGACACTGTCCAAGAACCTTCCGTCGTTTTTTTTTGTTTCACGAAGGGAGCCCGTCCGGGAAGCGAAAGGGCCCTGCCAGCACCGCCAGGCCGTCGCAGAGGAGGAGGAGGAGGAGGAGGAGGAGGAGGCCCAGATCTCGGGTACTCTTAGGGGTGGCCGCCTCCCGGCCGGGCCTCCGCAGGCCAGGGGCGCGCGCGCCCCGAGGCGGGCCTGCCGAGGCTCGGCGGTGCTGGTCCGCTCGGCGTTTCGAGTGGGCGAGGCGCCCAGGGTCATTGGGGAAAAAATAACCACATAAGTTCTGGGGCCAACCCCATAACACGCAGGGTCATTGGGGTTATGGGCCATAACCCCAATAACTCGATGAAGACGTGGCCTCACTGAGGTCCCCGTCTTTGCATTAGAGATGACAAACCTGGACGGTTTGGTTCGGCACATCTGTAGAAAAGACCCCCCTAATTATCCCTAATGTTTCTGGCCCTGCTAACTTAGGTCCCCTCCCAAAGGGTTAGGGTTTTTACCTAACATCGAAGACTGGTAGGTTTCTAGTGGTGTCAAAAGAGAGCAGCACATTACTTCAACATTACTTCAACATTACTCCACAGGGGGGTCTGGGCAGCCGTTGGGGGCAGTTGGGGGGCAGTTGGGGGGCTGTTGGGGTTTGCCGGCGGGGATCGTTTTTCGCATACAGTCACACACTTCGTGCCCACTTCGTGCTCTTCGATTTCCCAGAACTCCATTCCCGGGCCACATTTTGGAAGCCCGGAGCCAACTGTAGGCCACTTCGTGCTCTTCGATTTCCCAGAACTCCATTCCCGGGCCACATTTTGGATGCCCGGAGCCAACTGTAGGCCACTTCGTGCTCTTCTATTTCCCAGAACTCCATTCCGGGCCACATTTTGGATGCCCGGAGCCAACTGTAGGCCACTTCGTGCTCTTCTATTTCCCAGAACTCCATTCCCGGGCCACATTTTGGATGCCCGGAGCCAACTGATCATCATCACAACCACCACCATCACCTCAACCACCATCACCACCACCACCATCATCACCAGCAGCAACAGCATCATCATAATCATCATCATCATCCTCCTACTCCTCCTCCTGCTCCTCCTCCTCCTCCTCATCATCATCATCATCATCATCATCATTATCATCATCATCATCATCATTATCATCATCACCACCACCACCATCATCACCGTCATCATCATCATCATCATCATCGTCATCATCATCATCATCAGTATCATTCTCATCATCATCATCACAACCACCACCATCACCTCAACCACCATCACCACCACCACCATCATCACCAGCAGCAACAGCATCATCATAATCATCATCATCATCAAAATCATCATCATCGCCATCATCATCATCAGCATCAGCATCAGCATCGTCATCGTCATCGTCATCGTCATTGTCTTGACAGCCGTCTTTGGTTCAGGACGTGCCCTTCCAGGATGGCCCTCCCTTGGCCCTATCCTTACCGGCCTGCAGCCTCGGCTTCTCGCGGTGCTTCTCAGCCTGCGGAGGAAGACCGACACACGCCTGCGGCCGCGCCTGCTCGCTGTGATCCTCAACCTGCGTCTTTTACGGTCGCCTCTTTTAACTTCGGGTTCGAGCAGAGCATGATGATGGGGAAGAACTCCAAGACTCACTGCTCCAACTTCGGGCGGATTTGCGCCAAGATAGTCGAGGAAGTCGATGCTGACCTTTTCTTTGGGTGCGAGGTCGGTGCGTTTCGTCAAGGCCTGAGTCGAGCATCCATCAACGTGAAAGACATCCTGACCAAGCCGTTCGGCGACAGCATCGGCTTCTGCGAGGTCGCCAACTACTTGAGCCTATGGGGCTTCGGCGGTGCTTCTCAGCCTGCTGACGTGTCCCTGCGCGAGGACACATACATCTACCACGTCCCCATCGCGCGACAAGTGGACGCAGTGATCTCACGGTTCAATGTGCAGACAGGAGGCCATGACAAAGTTCACGTGGTCGTCGGAAACATGCACATCGTTTGCGGAAGCAACCCTCCCAGCATTCACACGCGACAGAAAGCAGTTCGGCTGCTCCGACTCCACTTGGACGGGATCGCCGTGCTTCTCAGTACTGGGGAGCCGGGCACGCCGGTCGTGCGCCTCGTAGTCGGCGACAACAACTTGACCGCGCAGGAGGCGCGTGAAGCTTTCCAACGCCACACTGACGACGAGGCGTTATGGGAAGTCTTCGCCCCCCCGGCGGACCGCAAAGGCGACAACGTGGCAGTCTGCGGAGCAGTCGCGCGTTTCCAGCCCGTCGCTGTTGGCGCCTCCTACATGGACCGTGGCATGCGAAACGACGCACACGATGCTGTTGCGGTCGTGCTCACCGTCCCTGATGCTTCTCAGCCTGGGGAGACAAAGAGGCGGAAGATTGCATTCGGAGGATTGCCTGACGCCGACGCCGGCTCAGAGACCGAGGTGGAGGGCTCCTCGGTGCACTGGTCCCGGTCCCCGAGCCCCGCTCCTGTGCATGCACCGCTTTCACCGACGTCACCGGCCGACGCCGCAGCCTGCGACGAGCCCGAGGATGAAGTTAGTCGGCGCGCGCATGAGCTGCACAAGGAGTTGAGGGAGTATTGGGGCCAGAGGTATGACGCGGCCTACGACCCGAAACTCCTCCACCACCTCAGCCTCTTGCTGTTCAAGAAGAGGACGTCCACGCAGCCTGCGGACAAAGATCCAGCTGGTGCTTCTCAGCCTGGCTCGGACTGTGACACCGCCTTCGCGTCGCAGGCGGAGACTGTCCGAGCCATTGTGTCTGTCCTTAAGGTTCGCCATGAGTTTCTGCGGAGCAAAAACATCGCCGACTTGCGGCGCGTCCTCACCGACGCTGAGCGCGGGGAACTCGTAAGACGTGTTCGCACAGAGTACGAGCAGTCCGAACACCAGCTGGCGCTACAGGAACGAGATGGCGAGAAGGGGAAAGCGAAAGGCAAGACTCCACCACAAGGTTCTAGCGGAACTTCTCAGCCTGCGGGAAAAGGCGAAAAGGGGAAAGCGAAAGGCAAGACCCCACCACAAGGTTTTCGCGGAGCTTCTCAGTCTGCGGGAAAAGGCGAGGAGGGGAAGGCGAAAGGCAAGACTCCACCACAAGGTGGCCAGCCCCAAGGGGCAGGCCAAGGGGGTCTCGCTAAGTTCCTCAGAGAGCAGAAGCGTAAGCGGTGGTGCCGGCATCTGCAACGCGTGTGCGGCACAAAACAGATCTGGGAGGTGCTGGCTTTCTCCGGCCGCTTCGACGTTGACATGCTCACCCAAGCCCTGCGCGCCGAACCCAGTGAGCCACCTGCGCACGACGAAGTCATGAAGGAAGAGCGCCGCCGCCTCCACCACGACAAGGCTGAAGCGATCTCGCGCTACAACGAGGGTGAGCGGCTCGCCCGCTATCGGCAAGAGCTCTTACGTGGCGGTGCTACTCAGCCTGCCGACCAGGGCCAGGAGGTTCCCACTCTCACGCGCAAGCAGTTGGACGTGCTTCGGAAGTGGGACAGCGGCGAGTTGCGAGTCAACCGGAACCAGGCGATTGTGGCGCTAGGACACGGCCGCCTCCGTACTGCGGGAGGGGATTACCTGGGCATCGGCGGCAGCGCGGGCGGTGGGTCTCGGCGCATCATCGACTCTTGGCAGCCGCCGGATTGGCGCGACTTCCTGCAAGACGAGCGGGAGAGGTGAGGTTTCCAAGCCCGTGTGCCCGCGGTGCTTCTCAGCCTGCGGTGCTTTTCGCTAGACTCTTTCTGCGGTGCTTTTCTGCGAGTAGTAGGACTCTTTTCAGCCTGCGGGTTTCTGCGAGTCTCAGCCTGCGAGTTTTCAGCCTCCAGGTTTCGCAGGCTCTCCGCTTCGCACGCCGCTCCTCAGTTCCAAGACGTCTGCCAAAGTGCAGGCTTTTGCAGGCTGCCGCTTTTGCAGCCTGCCACCACAGCTCAGCGTGCCGCTTTTGCAGACTTCCAAGACGTCTGCCAAAGTGCATGCTTTTGCAGGCTGCCGCTTTTGCAGCCTGCAACCACAGCTCAGCCTGCCGCTTTTGCAGGCTTCCAAGACGTTTGCCAAAGTGCAGGCTTTTGCAGGCTGCCGCTTTTGCAGCCTGCCACCACAGCTCAGCGTGCCGCTTTTGCAGACTTCCAAGACGTCTGCCAAAGTGCATGCTTTTGCATGCTTTTGCATGGACTCGCCCAGCACACCAGTAGAGACACAGGTCTTACGAGTCCCTGCACATAATACTTTGTACACAATGTAGTCCTGCGAGTCCTACTGTCCTGCGAGTCTGTGATACAACTGTGTAGTGTCAAGCTCTGTGCGTTGATAGCAGTGTGTGCGTTGATAGCAGTGTCTTGTTTGACCATGCATCTATTGAAGTTCCGTGTGTTGATAGCAGTGTCTCGTGAGGACGTGCACCCATTCAAGCATCCGTGCGTTGATACCAGTGTCTCGTTTGGACATGCATCCATTCGAGCTCCGCGCGTTGATAGCAGTGTTTCATTTGGAGGTACATCCATTCAAGCTTTGTGCGTTGATAGCAGTGTCTCGTTTGGACATGCACCCATTCGAGCTCCGTGCGATGATAGCAGTGTCTCGCTTGGACATTCATCCATTCAAGTTCCGTGCGTTGATAGCAGTGTCTCGTTTGGACATGCACCCCTCCAGCTATGCTTCTACATATCGATGTTAGGTTGCTTTGCCGGGATAATTTTGTTACTGTTGGGTCAGAGGCGACGATAGGGGCGAATAGCCCAGGGGGCAGCAATCCATTATCCGTAAGGGCTTCGCCCCCTGCCGCCGGCCCCCCCTCTATCAGAGCCGGATATATGAGAGTCGCG